GGCTGCTCTCTGCCGGCAGGAACAGCCCAGCTGCGGCCAGCCGCCGCTGCCTGATTTTAGATATTTATTTTTGCTTTTGGCTGACAGCTCTGGCTGGGGAGAGGCGATGGGGGCTGCTGGCCATACCTGGGGGACAGTGGGGACACCTTGGGGCTCCCCCAGCTCCCCAGCAAGTTTTAGGTAGAGACAACCACTACCCTCCACTGAAATGCCTGGCTGTAACCCAAAATACATGGAGAGTAAAACGATGTACTGCAAAGCAGGCTAAAATTAGGCATTTTAATTCATTAAATTTGAATTGGAGGAGGCTCAGCGCTGGGCCATTGCTGGGTGAATGTCTGCATGTGGCAAACACCCTGAAACTCCCCGTGCCTCTACCAGGTACCGGTCACCCACCGGTGCTGACAGCAAGTATTTCTGGGGCTCCCCCCAGGCAGGGGACACATGTGAATGCCAAGGAGACAGGAGATGGTTTGGACTTGGTGCTGTTGTATTTTCATCTTTAATTAAATAAGTCTGGCCATCTTCCAGAGGCACCAAGGTTCAGAGTCACGCCCACGTGGAGTGGGTGCAGCCCTGGCACTGGCCGTGCCCTGCTGTGGGTCTTGGGGCAGGGGGGTTATAGCCCATTGGACCCTCAGGGCTCTCCTGGGATGATGGGGCAGGACATGGGGTGATCTCCAGCCAAAATCTGACCTCCGCCACCTCAGTCCTGGGTATCTCTGTTTCTTTGTGGTATGTTGTGCTGCTATGATTTTTGGGCTTAGCTCTTTGACCTGCCTCCCCCTCTTTTTCATGTAAAAAAATAAATAAATAAATTTGCCTGGTATGCAAAAAGAAAAAAGGAAAAAAAAAACAACCCCCCAAACCAACTCTGAAGAGCACCAAACCACAAAGTCACCTCATTTCATTGCAGCCCAAGTGCCGGCCAGGGCTCTGCAGGCGACTCCTGCCCTGGCGTGCTTCTAGGGCAGTTCCCAGTCTGTGCTGGTGTATGAAGGCACTAAACCAGTAAGGCCTCTGGGGTCCGGGTCCTTGCTGGCACCACGGGAGTCTTGTCCTTGCCTCGTCCTAGCTGGGGCAGAGGGTGGCAACGTGGTCCTGTCACCCTCACCCTCCTCTTCCTCAGTGCAGCCCCTGAGCCAAAGAGGTGACCCCGGTGCTGAACCCCTCCCTTTCTCCCACCCTTGCAATTTCTCCATTCCTGGAGAAACTATGTAATTCGGGCTCTGTGGGACCCCGCGGTTGGCTCTGCCAGGATGCTCTGGCTCCTGGGGCTGCCGATTT